ACAAAGCTGTACAAGAACTTGCAGAATATGATGGATATATTACCACACAGGATGAAGGCGACAGTGAGAGGATTGGTCTCCTGGGAGAGCAAGCCCTGGACGGTGGAGCTCTGCACCACCTGGAACATGAGCTCTGGGTGGCGCTGGAAGTGCTGAGGCATCTCACTGAAGACGTCTAGCAGGGTCAGCAGGTCTCTCCGGATGCGCCTCAGCAACGGCCGCAAGGTAACCCCTCCAGCAGACTCGGAGGTGCCAGCAGCCGTGCCAGGAGTGCTACTGTAGCCTGGTGCCACTGAGCGTGTGGGCAAGGCATGGTTGGGTCTGAGCTCCAGCCTTTTCGCCACCACGTGCACCAGGTCTCCACTTTGGATGCCGTGCTGGAGAAGACTTTCCTGGTCCTTCAATATTTTCCCCGCAAATATCAGAAGCACCTGCTCCTTGGTGAGCGGGAAATGGCGGGCGGCCTCGATCTTGAGCTCCGCGACGGTGCTCTTCTCGTCGACCTGGCAGTCCTGTGCTTTCCCCGAGCCTTTCAAAGTCACCCTTACGAGTTTGGGTTCGCGGGTGCCCTCCACAGGGCTGGCACTGGGGTCATGGCTCATGGCTGGGGTGCCACCACCGGTCCATTCCTAGCCGAGGGGCAGGCAAGGCCAGGGGGTCCCGGGGAGGCTCCCAGGTGGTCTGCTCTGCCTTCCGAGAGCCGAGAGCCCCTTCAGCAGGCATGCCTTCTCCCCTGGCCTCGCTCCCAACCTGGTCGCCCGCTCTCTTCTTCCTCACCCTGCTCCCCCAAACCCACTGTGGCATCACGGCCATGACATCACAGTCCTGAAGGGACAGCAGTGCCCGGGGGCCTCCCAGCTGGCATTGCCTCACCCACAAGGCCCCCTCGGCCCCCAGGGCATTGACGGACGGCAACACCAGCAGCGTCCGAGGCTCGTTTGGGGGAGTGACGGAGGAGAGGAGCCCAGGGGGAAACGAAGGAAGCGCCCCCTAGTTTGGGTACTTCCCCCATGGAGGTATCCTGCGTGCTGGCAAAGGATGTTGCTGAGGTCCTCCTGGTTGCGTTCTGCTCGGTTGCAGGATCTGTTTGCTTCTGTCCTGGACCTGCCCAGTTCTCACGGCGGAGCTCTTGAGCTAAGCCAGGCGTCTAAGACTTGTGGACTTCAAGTCCCAGAATTCCCCAGCCAGCCAGCCAGCCTGTCCACAAGCCTTAAAGTTGCCCAGTTTGGAGACTCCCGATTTTAGGTTGTGATGAGGATTTTTCTCTGCCCGCTTGTTGCAATGCTGGCACTGATCGGACGACCATGGAGGGTCTCCTGCTTGAGCGGGGGGTTAGGCTAGAAGACCTCCAAGGGCCCTTCCAACTCTCTTGCTCTGATTAGGGCGGAGGGAGGGGTCCTGAGGCTGGCTTCTGCACCTAGTGGGGGACTAGAACTAGCTCTCCCCACTCCTGGCTGGTTAAAACCAGCAGATAAGGAAGGAGGTGAAGATGGAAGGAAAGGCTGATGACCACGAAGTCCCGAAGGCACAGTGGCGGCCATGCACACAACGGCTCGCTTGCGGGTCAAAATCGAGCCAGGAGGGTCTCCTCAGACAGAACAAGGCAGTGAGGATCACGGGTCACTCTTGACCGGTGAGAATCCAACACCCGCCACCTCCACAAAATGAGGAGTCAACTTGGTTTTAGCCTCCGTCTTTACATCCAGAGGAAACAGGGATTTCTGGGGCCCAGGCCGGAAACAAACCAGGCAGCGGAGGGTGCAGATCTGTCTGCAAGGATGTGGCCAAAGATCTCCTGGCTAATTGGAAGGCCTTCAAGTCCCCAGAAGCCGGGATGGAAGAAAAACCTCCCACACTATCCATGGTCCTAGCCGGAGAGCCTCAGGTCCTCTCTCAACTGTCTCTGGAGAGCCTTGGAGCATTGGGGAGAGGCCAGAGGCCCGGAGAAGAGCGACCCTGGTCCCCCTTCTGAAGAAGCAGGGGGTTGGACTAGAAGACCTCCAAGGTCCCTTCCAACTCTGTGATTTGGTTATTCTGAAATTAAAAAGAGGGTTGTGGCAACTTGTGAGCCTTCTGTCGTGACGCAGCTCAGGACTCAAGTTCTGATTTGTTTATTTATATAATACAGTATACAAGATAAAATAGACTATCAAATTAAGATAATGAAACCATCATAATGTAGCACCCTAGAGCCTCAATGGGATGGATGGGATGGTCCACTGTGGCCTAAGGAAGCTAACCATCTCACTGCTTCTGGGGTGGCTGCTGGGCGATCATCCCAGGTGCCTGGTTTCCTTGCGGACGTTTCATGATCCAAACGAGGGAACAGCACCAGTGCTAGTGAGGATAGCACCAGTACTGATGATGTTCCCTAGTTGGGTCATGAAACGTCTGCAAGGAAACCACCACGCTCAGAGAGCACCCAGGACCCCGGAGTTTCAACCCTGAGCTACAAATATTTACTGCTATGTTCACAGTTCTTTTCCCATACTCAGCTCTCACTTCCATGTGGTGAAGGGAGTAGGAACAAGCTCCGGTGCCTGGTTTTTATTTACCATTGGCTTTCTGGCAATATTTTCCCATCTTAAAGTTTTATTTATTTGTTGGTTTGTCTGTTTATTTGTTTGTTCAATTTCTATATCTGCCCATCTCAGTCAATGATTCCAGATAGCTTACAATTCAAATATACATACATATATACATATATGCTTAATCTGGATGTTTTTAGTGTTTTTATTGTTTTAAAATGTATTCAGTATTTTGTGTGTGTGTGTGTATGTACACACACACACACACACACACACAAATACTAAATACAGATTAAGGAAACATAGGAGCAAGATACCAGTTAGCAGTGCAGCCAAAATTTCCACCGCCCATTTCTTATTTTACCAACCATTTTAGCAAGATGTGCGCACATTCCTCTATTTCTTTCAGTTCTTCAGTCTTTCAATCTATCTTGCGATTGTTCGCCCCGTTTTCCTTATCAAAGGGACTATTTTGGCTTTTGATGCATGACTATTCAGATCAGGCCGAGGCCGGCGTGGTCTTGCACTTTTCCCAAAGAGGACACAACCAAGGGAGGGTTGTGCTTCCAGCCTGCGCAATCGGTCAAAGAAAGCCACGTCCTTCCTCCAGAGCAGCTGCTCTGCAAGGAACGCCAATCTTTGGGGCGGGGCGGGTGGGGGGGCATTTGTAAGTCAGGGGGCATTTAATGGCTGCATTTCACATCATAGCAATAGCCCTTAGACTTATATGCCGCTTCACAGGGCTTTGCAGCCCTCTCTGAGCGGTTTACAGTGTCAGCCTGTTGCCCCCAACCACCACCTGGGTCCTCTTTTAACTGCCTTGGAAAGCGGAGTCAACCTCGAGCTCCTGGCAGTGGGCAGAGCTTGCCTGCAATGCTGCAAACTAACCCCTGGGCCACCATGGCTCCTGGCGCCGTGGAGGTCAAGCAGGAGCAAAACATGCGTTTCCTTGCAAATCAACCGAAAAGATCAAAGGACAGTGGTTTGTCCGAGACCTTAAGAGGGGGATCCATCCTTTGGAGCCTACAGTTTTCTACTCCTCCCCCCCAGAAGGGGAACGGATGACGCTCCGAGAGAAATGCTTTGGGCAAGATAAAAAGTTGGAGCTGAGCCCACCGATCAGAACGTTGTTTGGAAATACAGCGAATGCCCTGCCCCCAGAAACACACCCACACAAGCTCTCCTAAGCGACACAAGGGCCCGCTTTCTCTCTTTTTCTCTTCACAGCCCTCTAATCCCTTGCCTCGGGGTGGAGTTGGGGCGATTGAACGGAGCCGGGGTGTTCACTGGCAGGATGCCCTTCGTGAAGCCCATGTGGAGTTCGCAGCAGGCAATTAGTCATCGCGCCCAGAGAGGGAAATATCTGCTGCTACTTAGGATCGAACTCACAGCACCCTGATTGTGAGGCGAGGGGTTCCACCTCTAAGCCACTGCACAGGTCGTCAACACAAAGACACCGACCAGGTTCTGGTCGAACCTCAAGCAAAATATAAACCACGGTTGTCAGGATGTCACGCGAGGGAGACAGACAGAAAGACAGAGAGAGATTATCGTCCACGTTGTTTGTCTCCATGGCTGGAGATGCTACGGAACAAGGCCCTGGATTGCAGCTACCTGGCCGCCCTGGGCGGAAAAGAGCCATGACGGCTGGAGGCCAACCCTTGGCTTTGCAGCAAGCAGATTCCCACCTTAAAATGCCGCTTTTCAAACATTCAACACCTGGAGGGGCAAGGGGGTGGGGGTGGCAGTGGCCTCTGGTGGCCCAGGGATCCACTTTGGGAGCCCGAAGGGAGCAGCCCACCCGCCTGTCCCCGCCGTGCCAGGAGAGCCCTGGGTTTCAGCCGGAGGAAAGGAGCAGCCAAGGCACCGTTTATATCCACCATGCTGACTTTAGTGTGTCAGATGACCCTACAAGAGGCAAAGGTAAATCTGTAGCTAGGATGCACGAGAGTTTGTTAGCTTTTCGATTGCCAGACTGATATCTCCTTCCGTGTCCATGAGAGCCCGCAGGTTCAGGTCCTGGTTGGGGAAGCCCATCGCTCGGAGCTGCTCCAACTGGCCCTGGTAAAGGGCCTCTGGAGCTTGCTCTTCCATGTCCTCCTCCTCCTCCTCCTCCTCTTCATCGTCTGCTTTGGAGGCGTTGCTCCCCAGCTCCAAGCTCTCTTCAATGGAGAGGAAGCTCTCTGCCCCTGATGACGGGCTCTCTCCCTCCTCGGAGTCTTCCATGCTTTCTAGGTCAACATCTGGGTCCGTCAAAGCTTGCAGGAAATCGGGGACTTCCCTGGTGAGGATCAGCAGGCTCATCTGCAACTGGAGGAGAGCCTGGACCGCTCGGGGATTGGTCAGCAGCAGCGCAGAGGCTGACTTGGCCAGCTTGGACGGGAGCTGCTGTGGCCACTCTTGAGGCGGAGGAGCCCCGTGGCAGTGACTGAGGAACATCTGGGTGGGGCCGTTGGGCTTCGTGAGCGCGTTGGAGATGTTCTGCATGAACTCCAGGTTGTCGGTCAGCTGATGAACCATGTTTTGGATGCTCTCAGTCTTGCTAGGCCCTGGCCGGACTCCGGGCCCCAACGCCAGCAGGACGTAACCTTGCTCAGTGCCGTTACCAGCGTTGCTGAGGTCACCGTTACATATGTTGTCCCCGCCGCTGCTGTTGGGCTGGGGTGTCCAGGGGTTCGGCAGGGGTTCCCTGTTCTCTGTCCGGGAGAGGGGGCTGACCCCCCCAGGGGAGGGCTTTGCCTCTGAGAGGGGAAACGAGCTGCCCTGGAACTGGGCCTGTACCGCGTTCAGCATGGGGACCTCAATGTCGTTGTACAGCTGTTGCAGGGCACTGTAGCCCCCCGGGGTGCTCTCCAGGTTGCTCAGGGCTCGGTCGTGGTTCCGGATGATCTCGTCCATGACGGCCGGGCTGGTGGCCACATCGATCATTTCCCGCAGGAATTCGGAGTTGTTGAGGATGTGGTGGATCTCCGGGTTCTGTTCGGCCAGCTGCTGCATCTGAGGCACAGACATGATCATCTGCCTGACTTGCTCGGTGTCCCCAAAAAGGTTCTGCATGAAGGGGTGCTGCATCACCTCAATGATGAGCTCCTGCCGAGTGGCATCCTGCTCCTGGGCCTCGCCCACAAAGTCAGAGACGTCCTGGGCGTTCAGGTCCAGCACGTTCATGCCCGTGACCCCGATGAGGAAGCCCAGGAGAAGCGGGTTGCTGTTCAGGGCAGAGGCGTCCAGGTTCAGCGTGACCATCTGCAGCAGGAGGTTCTCCATGGTCTGGGCCACTATTTCGTGGCAGGAGGCCATCAGGTCTTCCGGCTGGCTGCTCCAGTCCGAAAGGTCCAGGCTGTGTTCCGAGGAGATCTCGCGCATCGCTGGCATCGGTGGGAAGGCGGTGGGCGCGGCTGGGCGGTCCCCGGGGCTGCCCGAGGGCTTCCTCTGGGACTTGATGAAGAGGTGGACTTTGGACCCATCGCCAATCTTGCGCTGCACGAGCGTGTCCTGGTCGTTGAGAATCTCACCCGCAAAGATGAGGGACAGCTGCTCGGGGGGCGTCTTGAAGCGGTCAGCGATCAGCTTCTTGAACTCCTGGACGTGGGTGCTGTCGGCCACCTCGAATTGCTCCTTGCGCTTGAGGGTCTTGACCGTGACTCTGACCACCCGGCTCCTGTGGCCTGCGGTGGCCCCGGGGGCCCTTTTGCTCTCGGACATGGCCGCTCAGGGGCTGCAGCGGCTGCGGCCTGGGTGGTGACGAAGGACCTTGGCAACGAGAGCGGAGGCTGAGGGAGAAAGCGGAGGGAAGCGGGCAGTCTCTTTCCAGGCAGGCGGCGGGGCTTGTGAGGAGGTGGGGAGGGGCCAGCGGTCTCCTGCCCCCTTGTGTCTCAGCACCAGCCAAGGCCAGAGCACACATACCAGCGAGATGTTGCCCTTCTCTTCCGTGGCTCACAACCTGGCAGGTTCCTTCATTTTCCTTTCCTCCCCTCTGCTGCTGCCCGGGACACTTGCCTCCCTGGGCTTGGCTGGACTGTGATCTCACTGCTGACCTCACAGAGGCCTGTGGCCCAGTTGGTGGGCCACACCTCCAGGGCCTTTGTCCTCCTGAAGTTCGGCCACCCCACCCCCCACCCCCGCAGGGCCGCCCCGTCCTCACTTCTTGGGCTCTTTGCTGCGCCGGCCTTGCACCACACACACCCCTGGCAGCACAGAGTCCTGGGCGACTTGTGGGAGGGAGCCGGCCTGCCTCTCCAGTCCGTGATGATAAGAACCAGCCTGTCAGGGTTGAAACAAGGGGCCCTTTGGTGCCCCTGAGCTCGGCTGTTTCCTTGCAGGGGTTTCATCGACCCGTTTAGGTAACCCCTTCGGTGCTAGAAGGGAGGGGGGTTTGCTCTCTGTTTATATACCACACAACCCACTGATGATGTTACCTGGTTGGGTTACGAGATGTCTGCAAGAAAGCCAAGTTCAGAGAGCACCCAGGACCTCGGTTATAATTCTGGAAGACTCACCTGGAGGACAATTTTGCTGCTCTTGAGTGTCCAAATTGAGGCAGCAGAACTACCTAAGGCAGGGCCTGGTCCAACCTTGGCCGCTAGGAGACTTGTGGTGCTGATGTTCCCTAGTTGGGTCATGAAATGTCTGCAAGGAAACCACCAAGCCCAGAGAGAGCCAAGGACCCCGGAGTTCAGCCGGACACTCCAAACATTCTCTTCTAATGACACATTTATTTTGTTGATGCTGCCCAGCCTGAACCGCCTTCCTTGGCATTTTCACCCTGCTCTTTGGGGCAAAGGGGAACACGCCCCCCCCCCGGGCTCTTTGAAGGCTGCTCATAGGTCTCCCCTCGATCTGTTCTGCAGGCCAAACATCTCCAGACCTTCCAGGTCTCTTCCAGATGCCTTCCCTTCTGAAATTGATGGGGGACGGTGGGGGGAGGCGCTGATAACGGCCTGGGGCTCCACCAAAGGGACGGATGCCTGCCAAACTCCCCAAGAGAGCGTGGAGAAGATGCTCCCTTCAAGAGTGGCTGGTTGATTGATTGGTTGATTGATTGATTTGCTCATTCCATTTGGATGCCAACCACCTTGTGCTGCTCCTGCAGGGAACCACTCGGGGCCTCCTAGGAAACCATCTTTGCAAATCCCTCCCCACGTCCGCTCTGAAGTTCCCCCGGGGCCTTCCTCAAGGGAGGAGCCCATCGGCTTCTCTCCCTCCCCCCCCCCCCCCCCCCCCCCCACTCTGGAGGAGGAGGAGGAAGAGCTCTCTGCCAGATTCTGGCAATCCAGGCCTGGTACCCCCCACCCAGTTCCTGGGCTGAGCCTTCCAGAATTCAGGCCCCAAACCAGAGGTGGGATTCAGCCGGTTCTGACCAGTTCTGGAGAGCCAGTAGAGGAAATGTGGAGTAGTTTGGAGAACCAGCCAACCCCACCTCTACTCTGCCTCCCATCAAGTCCCAGCTGATCGGCTGGGTCTCCTTTGGTTGCCCTGCGCAGGAGAACAGAGCTGGAAAGCAGGTCAGTGGGGAGGGGAGAGGGATCTTGCAGTATATCCTTCCCCTGCCACGCCCACCAAGCCACCCCCACCAAGCCACGCCCACAGAACTGGTAGTAAAAGAAATTGCATCCTACCACTGCCCCAAACCCTGCCTGGGTGTCCCCACCCTCATCCAGGAACAGGCAAGGAGCGTCCTCTCCTCCAAGTGACCAGCCGTGGCCTAGCGGTCATTCCGGCTGGGGCTACTGAGCAGCCCTTTCGGTGCCAGACTGTCCCGAAGGCAATGAGCAGGCGGGAAGGCTGCGAGTCTTTCAGTTGGGGTTTATAACGTGGAGCGGATGTGGAAGAATGCGTGACCAGAAAGCCGCCCCAGCGCAGGGAGATGATCTCCTGGTTTCCTTCTGACTTCCTGGAGCGGCGGCGGCTTCTGGTTCCCAGCAGGCCAGCGCTGTAGGAATGGCATCTCTCCAACTGGCCCTCTGGGCCGCCAATCGGGCCTTGGAGCTGGCGGGGAGGGGCACCCAAGAGAGGAGACACGATGCCCCTACTCTAACGCAGCCGGTTCTCCTTCCGAGGGGGAGCCGATGGCCACGGCTCCCATCGCAGACAGGGGCCCCAAGCCCTTCAAGTGCAGCACGAACCAGGGGATGAGCACCGGGGCCTCCTCCATCAGCGCCTGCAGGCCCTGCTCCATCTGCACCCAGGCCTGGATGGCCTTGGGGCTGGACATGGCAGCCACCATTTCCGGCCGCTGCATCTGCTGGTAGAAGTTTTGCAGCTGCTGCTGGACGTGGTCCTGCTGACTGGCCTGCGATCCTCCGGAGGCGAGCAGCGCGTTCTGCATGAGGGAGAGCATCATGCGCTGGGTGTAGGTTTTGCAGAGGTTCACAATCAGGGCCTGGATGCCCCCCACGTTGCACGGTCCTGCCCCGGGGTTGGGCCCAAGGCTGGGCAGGGGAGGCCCGAGAGGCCCGGGAAGGCTGCCGGAGAGGCCCCCCTCCTCATGGCTGGAGTTGTTGGTGCAAAACCTCCCGTAGCTGTTGGAGGTGGGGAAAGAGTTGGAGCATGGGGATCCTCCCCCCTCGCCCCGCCTGGCCGTGTGCTCCGGATAAGGAGGGTTCCTGGCCAGGGCGCCAAGGGGCTCCTGGCCTGCACTTGGCTCCTGAGCCTCGCTGCTGAGTTGCCTCAAGGGGTTGTCCCCACCAGGAGTGTTGCTCTGGACGCCGATCAGGAGTGGCTCCGGATTCTTCAGGTCCTGCTCCACCTCAGGGTTCTTTGCGAGGTCCATAATTTCCCTCATCTTGTCCAAGATCACCCGCATGATGCCCATGTGGTTCAGGATGTGGCAGATGGCGGGGAACTGCTGGGCCAGCTGCTGGATCTCTGGGTTGGCCAAGATCAGCTGCCGCACCTTCTGAACAACCATCTCTGAGGACGGCATCGGGTGCCACTCCGTGCCGGAGGGATTTCTCGCCAGAGAGCTGGGGCTCACGGCGGGCAGGGCCAGGCTGGTGCCCATTGGTGCCGAGACTTCTGGGTCTCTCTCCAGGGACCGGATGACCAGGTGGACGGTCATCCCATCGCTGATCCCGCACTGCCGGAGGGTGTGCTGGTCCTTCAAGAGCCTCCCGAAGAAGACCAGCACCAGCTGGCGTGCCTCGCACTGGAAGTGCTTCGAGAGCCCCTCCTTGAACTGGCGGATGGGGGTCTCCTGGGGCAGCACAAACTGGGCACTGGCCTTGGGAGACTTCGCAGTGACGCAGATGAAGTTGGGGTTGGCGGCCAGACCGGGGCAGCCACGGGGGGCGCCCTCTTGGTGCAGGTCCAGGGCCTCCATGGCGCAAGGGGGAGGCAGATCAGAAAGGGCCTGGGGTCTCGGGCCTGGCTGGACCAAAGGAATCGGCTGGTGTCAAGTCTCCAAGAGGGAGGGGCTGCTGGGAGGCGAAACGGCACCCTGGAAGCCAAGCATGGGTGGCTGTCGGAGCCCCCTCCCAGGCCTCTGTTTCTCCCCCCTCCTCTTACCTTCCTTCCTTCTTGCTGAGCCCAGGAGCTGCTCCCTCCATTACCCAGCTGGGGGGGGGGGTCACTGTGACATCACCAGGTGTCACCCATGGCCAAGCTGGTCCAAAGAGCCCCCAGGAAGAGCCGGTCTGGGGGCCTGAGCTGACTTGCAGGGCCAAACCCTCCGCCCCCCCAGCAGGGCACCTGACCACCTTCTGCTCTGCAGGGACCCTCTTCTCGGGCGCAGGAAACGGGGAACCTTTTCCTCTCTCCAGAAGCTAGAATAGAATTTTCACCACGGCAGCCCCGGTTGGCTGGAAGTGATGGAAACTGGCTGCCCAGATCGGCCATCCCATAATAGGCTGAGTGACAGACTTCTCAGAGGGAGGAGCCTCAGAAAGATGCTTAGAGGGCAGCATTGGAGTCTGACTCTGCCTGTGCACAGCCTGGAGTTCAATCCTGACAGGGACCAGTTTGAACTCGGCCTTCCGCCCTTCTGAGCTCAGGAGGAGGAGGAGGAGGAGGAGGAGGAGGACCCGGATGGCTGGGGGGCGACAGGCACTCAGAAAGGCTGTGATGCACCGTGAGGTGGCATCCAAGTCTAAGGGCCATCGCTGTGGTGATTGGGGTTGTCCGGCCTTCCGCCAGCCTCTTCTAAGCCTGCGACCAGAACGCCCTGTGGTGGTCTCACTCAACTGTGGGGGAGCAGGAGGACGTGGACCACCCAGGGCTCCTCAGAGGAGCTTTTTCCAAGCGGGCTCCACCCAAACCCTCCGCTTTCAGTCAGACAGAAGGGAAGAAAGAGGCAAAGGAACCCCGCCCCCTCCCCAGCGCTCTTGGCAGTGGTCCAATTCCATGCATGCCGCTGTGTTTGTGTGCGTGGAACACACCACGGGCCAGCTGGAACCCTCTGGTGCCCTTGCTGGCCTCAAGCAGATGTCGTCCCCTCGCAAGTCTTCCTCCTCTCAGGGGTCTCCAGCTAGGAGCCAGCCGAGCCAAGCAGCCCCTGGGCCAGATGGCCGTGGAGGCCCCTGCAGGACTGGGATGTCCACCGTGGCAACGGACTCCTGTGGGCCGGGGGCCGTTACTATCCTCCACCACATCGGTGGCCCAGGCTGCTCCTCCGCAGGGGGAAACCCAGGGCCTTTGGACAGGCGAAACGCGGCCCTGAGCGCCCATCACCAAACCAGTGGCCGCCAGGGCAGACCAGAACAGCGTCTCAGTCCTGCAGGTCACGGTGGTCCCAAGGGGGCTTTTTTCCCAAAAGGCAACTGGACTTTCTTGGGGTTTTTTTCCCTTGAAAATATTTTGCTTCTCCAGCAAGAAGTGCCTTCAGAACTGAGAAGCAAAACATTGTCAAGGAAAAACAGTCCCCAAAAGAAGAAAAGCCCCCCGGGGACGACTCCTGCGGTGGCTTCCAGCGATTCCTTGCCAGAGATGGGAGCATGCAAGGAGGGCGGCTGGTCGCCAGGTCGCCAGCCCAGCCCCAGATTTCTCTTCCTGGAAAACGGGGCCAAACTCCCCGAATGCCGTTAGAGGGTTTGGCCCCTTGGCCAAGAGGCAAATTAACCACCTTGAGGACTAGGAGCCCTGGGCGGGGCCCAAGCAGAGGTGACAGGAGACCGGGTGAAAGATTTAAAGCTTTTAATCAGAAACCATGAAATCCATTCCTTTATGAAGCTCCGGCATCCGCCCAGAAGCTGCCCCGAAGGGCCCCACCCCGCCTGCCAAAGGCTCAGCCCCGGCACTTCAGAGCTTGTACGTCTGCTGCTTCGAAGAGGGGGGTTGTGCCGAGCAGCCCCGCAGATGGACGCTGAGCTGTGGGGGCCTGCAGAAGAAGTCGTCCGCCGCCAGGCTCTGCCAGATCTCGGGAGCAGAGAAGTCCTCCTCACCCCCTGGGCCAGGTGGGGGCACCATCCCACAGAGGGAAGTGATGGAATACGCTCTCCGGGCAGGGCGCTCCGATCGGCCGCGCCTTTCCGCCACCGGTTCGTCGGTCGTCAGGGCCTGCAATCTCTGCTGAATTTCCATCAGCCCCTGGATCTCTTTAGGGCTCCAGCTTGCCAGGAGGACATCCGTGTTTTGGATCTGCTGCAGGAGTGCCAGAATCTGCTCCCGGGAGTTTCTGGATCCGGCCACGTACCTCTGGGCAGCTTTGCCCGCCACCTCCGAGCCAAGACCCTGATCAGTGGGGTGCCTGGGGGGGCTGCTCGCCATGCTCTGCACGAGATGCTTAATGATCTGGTGGAACAGGTTCTTCACGGCCGCTGAGGCCAGCTGGCCCGTCTCCCCTCGCAAGTTGCCGCTTTCCCCTTTGCTGTGGTCATTGCCAGCAGCCGTGCCCACGCTTTGGCCGCTAGACCTGGAGGGCCACGGTTTGGGGGAATGCAGCTGCTGCTTGGCCCGCCCAGGCTTCTCACTCTGGGGGCCTCCCGGGGCTCCTGACCAGACCGTGGGGGCCGGCCTCTTGGGCAGGGCCTTCTGCACCAGGCCCTGCACCTTGATCAGCACATCCTGCAAGGCCGTGTTGCCGTCGCCACTGGGGACGCTCCCGGGACACGGGTGAGCCTGGGGCGGGGACTTGATGATCTCCCGCACCGCCGCCGGGTTCCTGGCCAGCTCCAACAACAGCCTCATGCCTTCCGGAGAGCTGAAGACGTGGCTGATCTCGGGGGCCCTCTGGATCACCTGCCGTATCTGGGGGCTCTTGGTGGCCATCTTCTTCATCAGATCGGGGCTGGAGAGTTTGCTCTGGATGAAGGGGTTCTCCAGAAGCTGCAGCATCAGGTCAGGGTTGGACATCAGCTGGCTCTGGAATTCCGCAAAGTTGGCCGTGTTGAGGCCCAGGCTGGCCGTCAGCTCCCGCAAACCATCACTGTCGAAAGTGCCATTCCTGGCAGGGGCTTTGGGGTCTGGGCCCAGGTCAGCTGGCAGGGTGGGCCCCTGCTGGGGCGGGCAGGCTTGTGGGGACCGGACGACGACATAGACGGCAGCATTGCTGTCCAGGTGGATCCCGTGCTGGGCGAGGGACTTGTGGTCTTTCAGGATCCTTCCGGTGTAGACCAGCACAATTTGGGAGGGAGAAGAGGACAGGTGCCGGGCTACGTGCTCCTTGAATTCCCTCACCAGCATGTCCTTGTGGACCAAAAACTCCTCCTCCTGCCAGGGCGTCTTCACAATTATCCGGACAACTTGGGGCTCTTTGGTGGCCCTGAAGTCAACTCCTGGGATTACCTGGCTTTCCACCATGATGGCCCATAAGAGTTTCTCTCCTCTCGTCTGGGCAAAGAATGAAGGCCAAGTGGGTAGCAAGCAGGGACTGAGAGATCTCCCTTGGCTGTGGCCGGGCAGACTCAGAGCGTGCTGCTCATCCCAGCCCAAAGTGCCCCTGCCTGGCTTCCTCCCTCTGCCCACATGCAAGCTATGGGTCTCCTCTTCTACCGGCACCTCCCACCCGCCCACCGGTGCACCACGCCAACCTTCTGAGGTGGAATCCCTCGTCTGTGATGTCACTGAGGAGGCCACTGGCTGGACCTCAGCCCGGCCTTCTAGGCTGCTCTGTGGGGCAGGGACCTCTCCCCGCGGGGGGCCAACCTAGGCAAGCCACCGGTCATGACCTCCTCCGCCCCCAGGTGGCGTCCCAGCACAAAGTCCCTTGCCTCAGGAGACAACCCAGCAGTTGCACCTCCTGCCGCTTCGTCTCACAACTGGCGCTGGGCGGGAAATAGAGTGGAGCGGTCCGAAGCTCAATGCAGGGCACGACTATGGAGGTTTCCCCTTAACCGCCAGCCATCTGGGCCCCCCCTCCCTTCCCTGGAGAGCCCCACAGTTCACCCCCCGTGGCCTCAAGCAGCAGCCTTGCTGACCTTGGAATTACAAGCGACGGTGCGGCAGCCAAATCCCTCGGCTCTCTCCAGCAAGGTGCCACCTAAGCTTAAAAGAGCCAACTTAGGAAGGCCTACCTGGAACCCTGCACCCCGTTTTGGTCACCACATCACACAAAAGAGGGTGAGGCTTTGGGGGGAAGTGCAGAGAAGAGCAACTAGGATGATCAAAGGCCTGGAGACTAAAACACACCAGGAACGGTGGCAGGAATTGGGCCTGGCCAGACTGAAGAAAGAAAGGACCGGGGGGGGGGGCATGACGGCCGTCTTCCAGAATCGGGGGGGCGGCCCAAAAGAAGGGGGGGGGGGGTGTCAAACTATTCCCCAAAGCACCAGAAGGCCAGACAAGAAACAATTGGCGGGAGCTAATCAAGGAGAGAAGCAACCGAGAACTGACATTTCCTGACAGTGGGGACAATTCAGATAATTAAGCAAGTGGAACAACCTGCCTTCAGAGGCTGCGGGCGCTCCGTCACTGGAGGCTTCTAAGAAGAGACTGGACAGCCACTTGTTTCCCATTTGAGCAGGGGGTTGGACTAGAAGACCTCCAAGGTCCCTTCCAAATGTATTCCGATTGATTGATCTAGATGACTGTATGATGATAAATGTATCTATGGTGACTATGATCATGATTTATCACATAGCTTTTATGTACACTGAGAGCTTCTGCACCGAAGACAAATTCCTGTGTGTCCAATCACACTTGGCCAATAAAAGAATTCTCTCCTATTCTATTCAAGATGTGCTGGAGTCCAACACCCCTCCTCCCCCAATGCCCAGTTGGCAGGACCTCCAACCAGAAACAAGGTGATCCAGAAAGTTCTCCTCTCCTGGTCTCCAAGTTCTTTTCCACTTCTGGCTCAAAGGAGCCCGGTGGTGTGGTCCGGTGGTGGCCTGTGGAGCCAGCAGCAGATTCGGACACTGGGGAAGAACATGGGCCAGTCCTGGAGTCTGGGGAGGGCTCGGACGAGGGATCTGCATCCGAAGCAGAGGTGGCGCCAGGGCCATTGGGGAGTTAGGTGCCGACTCCCTTCCAGAATCTGACAGCAGCGAGGCAGAGGAACAGCAGGAGCCTGTTCCCAGCGTGCGCATGCACAGAGCTGCCAGAAGGCAAGAACAGTTAAGACAAAAGGGGCGACTCGGGAGTAAGGCTTGGAGGTGATTGGCCCCTCCCATAAGACATAAAGGAGGAGCATAGGGACAGGAGCCTTTGTGGGAAGCAACTTTGTTCCTTCTGGTCGGTTTAAACTCTGTGTGGATTTTGTGCTCCGTTTGGCCTTGTGCAGCTAACTGGCAATGTAGTCATTGGGAGCATTTCAAGGGAGGTAAAGGTGGGTGCTTATCAGCCTTATCCCAAAGGACTCTGGCAGACTTCTGCTGGGCTATTCATTGACTGTTTGGGACTCATTACTGGCTGTGAACGCATAGAATTCACAGCCGTTGAAATAATAAAAAAAATGGTTTGGGGGAACAGCGTGTGATGGTTCCTGATTCAGGAATCCCTGGACAGAACGCCCAGTTGTCCTCCCTTCCTGGTCTTGGGTGACCGGACACAAGACTGGAAGCTGCCTGGCAAATGGGATTTAAATTATCCCAACAGCCCCCCGGGGACTCCTCCGCTTCAGCCCCCAAAGCTCTCGGGCCTCTGTGGAGGGCTTTCCTCCAGCCAGAGGCCTCCGTGCCAGGACTGGCGGTGCCCAAATGTTGCCAAGGGGGGAGTGCAGAGCCCACCGGGGAGCGTTGGACCTGCCGCAGCCAGCGCTCTCTGGGCCAGCCTGAGCCTCTGGGGGCTCCCAGCCCAGCCCTCCCCCAGCCACTCCAACAAACATGGCCTGCCAAATGCTCCCTCCCCCTTGGGACAGCTGAGCCTGGAGGAGGGTCTGTGGAGGAATGTTCCTGGGCCAACGGACCCTCCCACGCTGCCCCTCCTGTTTGAGCGCCCCTCCTCCAACACCCACAGGCCTAACAGGAGCTGAGGGGGGGGGTCGGGGGGCTTGTTTGGAATATCCTTTCCTTGGTTGGCAGGAACTTGTCACCTGGCACAGAGCCACCTGGCAGAGGCCTCCTCAGGAGCTGCTCCGCCCCCAGGGGGCCAAGAAGGGCCAGGCGACATCTGAAGCAGGACAACGGGGACCCACGGGGCGGGGCGGGGGGGGGAGCCAGCCGGGCACAGAAGTTGACCTGGGGCAAAAGAAGGGAGTCTCTGGCATTCCTCTGGTGGGGCCCCATTCCCCTGGTCCCCCTCTGTGGTTCTGGGTGTGTGTGTGTGTGCGTGTGTGTGTGTGTGTGTCTCCTCTGCCTTCTTGAGTGGGTCAGTCCAGCAGCCCCACTTCCATGCGCAGCACTGCAAGACAAAAGCCCCCCTCAGCCCCCTCCCCAAAGGCTTCCAAGGGATCTACAGAAAGTACTAGCCAACGGGGGGGGGAGGGGGGGAGGTGGAAAAGGGCCCAGCCCACCCAAACCCTTTCCAGGGACCCCGTCCAGGAGGAGACCAGGCGGCGCAGCCATCCACCCTCACAAAGAAGCCCCGGTTGTGGACTAAGGCCGAAGAGCCCTGGATTGACAGGGTGGGGGCCCCCCTTGTCCAGCGCTCCGGCTCTCAGAGGGGCCGACCGGAGAGATCCGGAGGGCCCACAAGCGGCAGAAGAGAAGGCAGCTGAGAGCTTTGCTGCCCAGCCTGTCGGCGGCCTGCAATGCTCCTTGGAGGCCAGGGAAGGGGCACCACACCAGGGACGGACGGGCGAGGCGGGGGCCGCTTTAATAGATCTGTAGCCACACTGACCAAGGAACAAGGAGTTTTTCCCCCTCCCTGGTGGGGCAGGAGGCAGAAGAGCGGCCACGTCACAAGGCTCCTCGCTTCCTCCGGCCTGGGAGTCCATCACCCGCTCCCCCTAAGGAGGAGGCAGCTTTCGTCCCGCAGCCGCCTTCGCCCCGAGTCCCCCACCGGAGCTTGTTCAGACCTCGGAAGCAGGTCCTGCCCCCTGGAAGAGCATGTGGGAGACCCGCTCCCGGATCTGCTTCGTTCGGACCCCGTAGACGATGGGGTTGAGCATGGGGGGCACGATCACGTAGAGGTCAGCCAGCAAGATGTGGATCCAGCTGGGGATGTTGTGGCCGAAGCGGTGGGTGAGGAAGGAGAAGAAGGCCGGCATGTAGAACATGAGGATGACCGAGATGTGGGAGCCGCAGGTGCGTAGGGCCTTGCGCCGGGCCTCCTTGCAGGGCAGCTGGAAGACGGCCCGGAGGATCAGGGCGTAGGAGGCGGCAATCAGCACCACGTCCACGCCGGAGGAGAGCAGCGTGGTGGTGAAGCCGTACCAGATGTTGACGGTGATGTCCCCGCAGGCCAGGCGGGCGATGCCCATGTGCTCGCAGTAGGTGTGGGGCATGGTGCTGTGGCCGCAGTAGGGCAGCCTCTTCAGGAGGAAGATGGGGGGGAACATGATGGCCAGGCCCCGGACGATGGCGGCGACGGCCACCTTCCCTATGGCGGAAGGCGTGAGAATGGCCAGGTAGCGCAGAGGGTCGCAAACAGCCACGTAGCGGTCGAAGGCCATGGCCAGCAGGATGGTGGACTCCGCGATGAAGCTGAAGTGGGTGAAGAACATCTGGGCAATGCAGGCGTCGAAGGAGATCTCCCTGGAGCCGGACCAGAAGATGGCCAGCATCTCCGGCACCGTGGAGGTGGAGAGCATGAGATCGGCCACTGCCAGCATGGCCAGGAAGAGGAACATGGGCTGGTGGAGGCTGCGCTCTGTGGCGACGAGAAAGAGGAGAAAAGCGTTCCCCGTCAGGGCCACCACGTACATCAGGCAGAAGGGGACCGAGATCCAGACGTGAGACGCCTCCATGCCCGGGATGCCCGTCAGGACGAAGGTTATGGGGTCAAAGCTGCTGTCATTAAAGGCGGCCATGGGGGGGCAGCTTCGCCCAGTGGGATCCTGGCTCCTGGACAAAGAAGAGAAAGCGAGAAGCCTCAGCCCCCTTGCTAAGCCCCCGGGGAAGAGGGGGGTCCTGGGCTCGCTCGCTCGCTCGCTCTCCCGCAGGTGCTTCCTTGCCCCCTCGGAGCAGCAAGCAGCACTCCCCACTAGCCCTGATGGCGTGGCCCAGTTAGGGCAAGGCCACTAGCAAGCTCAGGCAGCCCCGAACGGTCTCCTTTGCTGGCATCTCAAGGAGTTCTGGGCAAGAGGAGCCCCAGTCAGGAGGAAAGAGAGGGTGGGTGACCTCCCCGCGTGGCCTGGAGCAGAAGGAAGGAGCATCTCCAAGGCCTCCCCCTCTTCACTTGAGAGTCTTAGGCCCCCACTGCTGGGAGCCTCCACCCCCTTTGGCTCAGGACCTCAGCTGAACCCGGTGGACTCACCAAGG